CCCCAAAACCCCAAAACCCCAAAACCCCAAAACCCCGAGGTTAAATCTTGAAATTGAAAGTTTACAATGAATAGAGTTTTAAAAAGGTTTTAAGCATTAGGGTTTGGAGTTTGGTATTCTGACATTAATTGGATTATGTCGTCGAGATATTCTTCGATGTTGTTGCCAACCAGAAATGATAAATGTGTTTGGCTATAGGGAGAATTGAGAAAGTTTAGGAAAGTGAAAAGTTCTCTTTATATGCAATTTTTATACCAGAAATCTGGCATTTCTTTGAAGTTTCAATACAAATTCATGCAATTACTTACTCTTCATATATATTATCAAAGATAATATTGTCTTCCAGCCTGCTTCTAATCCATTGTGCATCTTGTTGAGTAATAGAGCCATCAAATTCACCCCACATAAGAGCTAGTGAAGTGTTGGTATTCTCTAAAGGAATTTGAGGAGGAAGTTCTGTTCCATACGCTTCAAGATTCTCATCAACACCTAAATCAAAGTAAGTGAACTGTGAAGTTCTAACACTCTGAAACAAATGCTCGAGTAATCTGATTCCGATTCCATTAGAAGTTCTTGCCAGAAAGAAATCCATTGAATCATTATCAAGAGCAGATGGATTTTCTTCATCGGAAAGTAAAGCTGTAAGCCCAGTACATAGAGGGTGAATCAAAAGTCAAGATTGATAAAAGACCCATCTGATTACACTGTTGTTTTCTCTAAAAACATTAACACCTAAATGTCTCATAAGCTCGAGTATCCATGGACAAGCTCCCAGTACGGCATATAGGGGAGCATTAGTATGAGCCATCATCAAAGCTGGAGCAATCAAAATAGCAAGAGATGTTCTTGGCCCAAAATATTCTGGCTCCAGTGCTAGAGCAGTTGCTAATGTTGCTCCTGCAAGAGAATGACCTAAAATAGTTGTCTGAGAATACCCAGTTGTCTCAAGTACAAATTCTACACAAGCCATATAATCAAATCTTATTGTATCAATGTAGAATTCCCAATATTCATCATCAATAGATGGATTCAAGCTAACATGCTGCCGGCTGTAAGTGTTTCCACGCAGGTTATAGAGCCACACATCCTTTCCTTGGTTGGCAAGATAGAATGCTGGAGAGTAAACTCCTCCAAGTCTTGTAAACGTTTCAGCAGTTTCAAATGAAGGATGAGACAACAGGATTGGTTCTTTGTTTGTGGTATCTGATGGACTTTCAGGTCCACTTGGAATTCTCATCAGAGATAAGATGTAACCATCCTCAGTGGGGACCTGATATTCCTCATATTCAAAGCCGAGTGCTTCTGCTCTTTCTCTGACACTCATCCGCCAGTACCCATCTAACTGGGCCTTCACATGAGTGATGTAACAGAGTATTATCAAAATAGGTAAGAAGAATTTTCTAAAATAAATTTTGGTTCCTGAATAGCACTGATTCATATTTAATATTTATTTTTAATATATTAGAGCTTTTCTTTGATCTTGGGGTTTTGGGGTTTTGGGGTTTTGGGGTTTTGGGGTTTTGGGG